GGATATCGTACACATTTTCGTATATGGAGGACAGACTGCTAGCAATTATCGATAAACCTCATCGAATGGCCGCGTGTCTGCAAAGCAAGAATCCCAAACCTGGTTGACAACCTTTGTTGCTTGCACATCGTCCTTGCACGTGGATCTGGCCGTGACGGAATCGATGGCTCGTCTGCGGACGCAATCTTGGAATTGCTGGGTCAGTCTCCAATTCCCTCTAACAAAGGCCTCTTTTGTCCACCTGCACTCGCCACTGAGCATTGAAGCTCGGATCTTGATAAGTTAGCATCCCTGTTTGTAAGGAAATTCATTGGCTTGCTTCCTTAACCGACCTCTGTGCATGCGGCGTGCTTCAAGTCCTTTTGACCCATGAAGTCGACATTCTTCCACCGAACATAGTCCCAGGCATGCACCATCTCATGCGCCAGCGTATCCTCGAGATGCTTTCGGTTCTTGATGTGGTTGGCACATATGAGGATGCCATGATTGGGGCTGAAACCACCAGATTGCCAGTTGACAGTGCCGTCAGCCCTCAGAGAGGAGGGACAGCGACGGCAGTGAACATTGGAAGGGTCTATTCGTCCATTGAGAGCCTGAATCTTGTCGGACATGAAGCGAACGACGGGCGAATAGGTAAAGAGCCAGTCGCGGTCTCTCTCACAAGCTTTGCAGTCTTTTTCTTCCTCGATTTCGGTTGTGTACTCTCGGAAGAAGAATTTGCCCTCGGGTGTCATTTGGCCCGAGAGCATTTTGAAGTAGTTCATCCACCATGAGATCTCTGGAGAAAACCCTGTTTTTGCAGGGTCGTTCTTGATTTCTGCACTTGAAGCACTTGGCGTTCTAGCGGGGACACCTGGAGGAGGTGTAGAGTCAGATGACATTCTGCAAAGGCGCGTGTATGTAATTCCAAATGCCAATTGAGTCCAAATTAGGGTGTTGTGGCTTCGGCGAGTGAATTCGGTATTCGGCGTAAGACTCAGAATCTCAAGGTGATTGATCTCCCTTGACCTGGGCTTCTTCTCCCAAGGCAGTGGAGGCTTTAATTTAGTTGGCTTTCTTAGCTTACCTCACTCAATTAGTAGGTAGCCTCTCCCCCCCCTGGAGGGGCCTGTACCGCAAGTGTCTAGGTATTCTGCCACGCACCCGATAGCCCGATTCGGCCAGGCGGTGAAGAGGCTGATTGGACCAGTTTTCCGAATAAGGGACCCTATTCGTGCTGTTTTCCCGGGCGACATCGGGGTCTGGGGAACTCTTCAGCAAGGGCGCAGGAGCACAGTCCAATCAATTCGACTATCGCCCAACGTTTGCCCAGCTCCAGCTCCAAACATCCTGACACTCCCACTCACATCCCATCTTATACCATCCTGTCCTACCTATCCTGTTCAACCCTCGGTTCCACACTCAGAGAGAGCGACAAGGGCGCATGAGAAAAATGACGAGTGAAAGCATGTTTCAATGTAAGCATTTCTCTCGACCCGTCTTTCTTTGATTTTGTGTTGTGGCAGAAGAGTCAAGCAAGTCTGTCTGTGTCGTTGAACTTGTTCCTATATATATATATATATATCACCTCCCTACCTTACCTTGTATATATGCGCCTCTTCACATGTGTAGTGTATGGAGACACCCATGTGAAAGTGCCAGTCTTTCCTTCAGGCGTTGCATCATACCCCAAAAGCGGCATTAAACTGACTTGTTTCCCTTTTTCTTCAACCTCGCAGTCATGAGAGGCAACGGGACAAAGTCTCTGACCATCGTCATCAAGCTTGGTGAGTTTACTTTACGGCTCAACACCATGCTTGACTCATCCCCCACTAACACTCGGCCTTCATCACAGGAACAAGCTCCATTGTCGATGAGAAGACTCACGAACCACTTCTTCCGATTCTGACTCTCATTGTTGATACGGCCGTGAAGCTTCGCAAAGATGGTCACAGGGTGGTCATTGTTTCGTCCGGCGCCATCGGTGTCGGTCTCCGGCGTATGGACGTGGAGAAGCGACCTAAGCATCTCGCGCAGCTACAGGTTGGAACCGAATGTCTCTGTTGGTCATCTATAATCAAGTGACTAACGTTAGCATCTACAGGCTCTTGCAGCGATCGGCCAATGCCGCCTCATGAGTCTCTGGGATAGCCTGTTCACCCACCTCAGGCAGCCAATTGCTCAGATCCTCCTTACACGAAACGACATTGCAGACGTGTGTACAACTCTTCCGTCTTGAATCTTCAACAGTGAACTAAAAATACATGTTGCAGCGAACGAGATACTTCAACGCTCAAAACACCTTCCATGCCCTTTTGGAACAAGGTGTAATTCCCATTGTTAACGAAAACGATACTCTTGCCGTTTCCGAAATCAAGTTTGGCGACAATGATACTCTCTCTGCCATCACTGCCGCTATGATACACGCTGATATGCTGTTCTTGATGACGGATGTTGATTGTCTCTATGACAAGAATCCCAGGACCAACCCAGATGCTAAGCCTATCGAGGTGGTCGAAGACATCGCTGCACTACAGGCTGACGGTAAAGTCTATATTCAATCGCGGGCGTGTCTCCCCGAAAACTAACTCTCAAGGCAGTATCCAGTGCTGGTTCGTCCCTTGGAACGGGAGGCATGAGCACCAAGATCATTGCTGCTAGGCTGGGCACTTCCGCTGGAGTCACGACTGTCATTACTAGGTCTTCTAACCCGGGAAACGTGCTCAACATTGTGCAGTATCTACAGTCAATACAAAAAGGGAACACTCCCCCCAGTCCAGACGAGCGTGCTGAAGGCTTGTCACGATCGGCATCGGCTCTGACGCTCTCCAACTTAAATGGCGCCCCTTGGCCCCCCTTACACACTCGCTTCATTCCCGCCAACGATCCCATCAGGGACCGTCACTTTTGGCTGCTTCACACTCCTCACCCTCACGGCACCCTCTACATCGACTCAGGCGCTTATAAGGCTCTTGTTGGCAAGGCGGGTCTGCTTCCGGTTGGCGTCATTGATGTCGAGGGTAATTTTGCCCAACAGGAGGTGGTGCGTCTCGTAGCAGTCAAGCGGCGATCAACCCCTGGGCCTGATGGCAAAATGTGGGAGGGCACTCCTGAAGAAGTCGGCCGAGCTCTGGTCAACTATGCCGCCGCCGAGATCGCGCGAATCAAGGGCAAGCAGAGCGTCGAGATTGAGAAGATTCTTGGCTATGCTGATAGTGAGTATGTCGCTCACCGACAGCATGTCGGTTTCTTTAAGAGGGACAGCAGGCCAGTGAGTCCAGCTCGAGAGATAAACGGTGCGGTAATGGAATAGGCAGGCAAAGAAAGGGCTTCGAAAATGGGCAAAATGGGGCAAGCGAATACATTTCAACATATACAGCGCTTTGATGACGACGATGATATCTACCAATCTACCAAATAACCCAAGCATGATTGACTTGGCCACAAGTTTCTTTTCCCCCCTCACTCTCAACGCCAATGAATGAATGATTAAAATAGCCCCAACGCCTGACGAAGCAAACCACACTGCCCTCTACCCCGTCGCAAACAAGTTGTCTTCGTCACGGAGGTACTCTCCACAGTCGGCCTGTCTGAAACAAGTGACACCGGTAGGATCCAATCTTCGGGCCTCGGCAGTGCTGCGGGCAGTGACGCCAAATCCGAGCGGTGTATCGTTCATGCTGTAGACAACAACTCCCTGGTGTTCGGGGCAGTCCTCTGACCAGCGACCGACATGCGCCTTGACGATGTTGCTGCCGTATAGGAAGGGCATAGTTCCGTTCTCCTTGACCCAAATCTTGTAGCGGGCGTGCTCGGCAATGATGGGAAGGGCTGTGATGTGCAGGCGAAACTTGCCAGACTTTGTGAACTTGCCTGTGAAATTTGAAGGTTAGCTAGAGAACATTGTGGCATTTATCAAGGGAGAGACATACCAAGACAGGTTCCTAGAGAGAGAAGCTTATCACGAGCAATAGAGGTCGCCAGGTTGGCGATCGAGAGACGAACGTAAAAGACACGATCGCGAACTAGGCGGAAGACATAGCGATCAGGGTTGGGGGAGTCGTCGAGGGGTGCGATCAGGTTCTTGAGGGAGCCACCGGTGTAATTTGCCAGTTTCTCGAACAGAGTCTGGGTCTCCTTTTCTGTGAGAGGGCGCATTGTATCGTTAGGAAATGGTGATTGATGGTGTTGGTGATGTTGTTCAATGGCGGGATGACTTGGCTTCGCAGAGGAAAAAAAGTTGATGGAGCCGAACAGATAAGGATTCTTATCAGTCGGCGGCTGAAGGTGGAGCGGAGGTTTAAATGGGTAGGTGGGGACCCTCGTCTACCTACTTACCTACCAAGGTAGGATACCTTAGAAAATGGCTAATGAAGATACCTAAATTTCATTGCAGCGTCATTCAAATAGCAATAGAAAATAATGCATTAGGATATATAGAGAGTCCGTATCTTGAGTAGCAGCCTAGTAGTTAGTATTGTGTTAGTTTCTCTTAAGATGGATGTAGAGAAATTCAGGTGGTCCTAGGACATTCACAAAAAGCAACTTATAACGTTCAATTACTCGCTCTGATAAACCAGGTCTGGGACGATTTATATCATAAACAGGTAAAACATATACACCAGAATGGTAGTATCAAGACTGACAGTGAAGCCCACAGATCTAATTATAGCCCTATAAATGTGTTTACTCTTCGGACGGCGTTTCTCAGACCTAACGTCAGCCGAGTCCCCGGAACGATTTATCATTGTAAAAAGAGATTTATGACGCCTGGTTAGGTACCCATTTAGCGGTTCGAATCAAAGAAGAAGCAAAAAAAGAGAAGAAGAAGAAGGGAAAAAAAAAGAAGATTTGCTGTTTCCATACAACTTAGCACCCAAACAGATACTCACCAACCAATATGTCTCATAGTCCTCCGGCTAAATGTTGTTTAGTGTCTAGCCGATACTTGTCGCAAAGGACTTGCCTAAGCGTCTTGAAATCCTGTTTAGCACAGTAATACAGTGTTCTTCGATTCATCTCTATCCAAATCTTGGGAGCTTCTTTAGGCTCGAGTTCAGCCGTGACCAAGCCATGAGGTCGGCGTTGACAGTATGAATGATGTCCCTCAATTCCGAGATGGATTCTTGACCAAGGACAGACAGTTTCGGACCAGCAAAATCTTGTATAACATCGATCTCCTTGCTCCAATCGAGACGGTGAGATATCAAGTACTTAATGGCCTGGTCCTCAAGGTTATAGAGGTTCATGAGATCCTCTTTGGTCAAATGTCCACGACATGAGAGGATATAATCGTTTGTAATGTCTCCCCACATCTTCAGCTGTGGTGAGCTCCCGAAAGCAATATTTCTCAAGATAGGCTTTGTGCCTTCAAGAGGCCTAGGGTTTGCATTGACTTTGAATGTGTGCCAGGTCATGCGCCAAGCGAGGTAACCCTTCTGAAGCTCATCGTATCCATGTTTCGAGGGATGCTCAAACACTAGACCCACGATGAGGTAGGGTGGATAGGTTGAGAATACCTTCATAAAGTTTCGTGGGCATTGATGCTTTACATGTTGTATTCGGTCTTCAGTAATTGCATTGTGTGGCAGGCTGGTAGATGTGCCCATATCAGTGTTGTCTGGTCTTTTAGCCACATCTTTAACTTTTGTCGTTGGGTCCGTTAGATCATCTATGCCCGCCTGAGACGCGTGCTCATCCAGATACCTTAGCATGCAAGATTTGCAACTGACGCTGTAGCACTCGTTGGTATTTAGACACTGGTTATGGACTTCGGAAGCCCAAGATCGCAGGCGAGCATCGATAGCATGAACTTCAAATTATTGCATGCGAGCTTTGTTGTCTTTCAAGCTCTGGACTAGATTGTTTCTATCCTCGTTGAAGCCGACATCTCTGATAAACGACAGCCACTGGGAGTGGGATCTAGCCCGGAGGAGCTCGGAAGCGCTGGGAGAGAAAGTCGAACACGGGACTCCTGTGATTGTAGTGACGGGCCAACGGATGGAAGAGGTCGACGAGGAAGAGTGATCTGAAGAAGCAAGGTTCCAGTAAATGGTGGTGAATACCATCTTGTCACCAGTGCTTCAATTTTGTGTTGTATATATGATCGGAGAAGGTATTTGGTAAATGAATAGAACTTTGATGAAAGGGTGCACAGGTAAACGTCCGGCGAAGGATATAGTGAGGAGGGGGTTTGTGAACTGGTTTCGTGGCGTGTAAGTCTATCAGTGGCCGGCTTGTCCTTGGCTCGGGTTCTGTAAATCTGTGGTTGTCATCAGTTGAATGTGAAGGAGGCAATTCTCGATAGTTGTCTGATGAGTGTTGCTTGCAGAAGATCACTGGTTGCAAAGGACAACAGACTGCTTGTGTTAAGAAGAATTACAGAATTTGATGTGCGTGTCATGATGTACGTTACTGGGTGTTCTTCGCCAACTTCGAGGCAATTCAGATGTTTACGTGTGCTACTTGATAAATCAATTCTTCCCATTGTAAATCATAACCAAGGCAGTGGTGGCAGTAGGATTTGAATATCCTTTATCGGTCTGAGTTAAAATGACAAGGTATCATGAGAACCTCTCATACCTGCCACCCAGCGTATCACGGAAGACTCGATTATGGGAAATTATGTGTCTATTCGAGACTTGAATATGCTGACAAGACTCCAGCTGTTCAACGTAGAGAACTGTCTAAATGTCTCCAAAGAGTGGTTTCACTGAACATATTACTCTGTAGGGAGGGATTGGGAGTCATGGCTGCTAACGTGATTGGTCAGCTAGTAACCAAACTCCGATGGTATTGGTATTGGATCTATGGATATCTGATTGATAAAGCGAAGTGCAGCTCAGAGTGGAGGAGACTCTAATTTAGCTACTAACTTAGTTAACATGTACTTACTATATACTATGACTTGTCAAGGCGCCTGTAAAAGTGTTGACAACATAAACAGAAAGAAAATAGATGCTTAGGGTACAAACCTTCGAGATGAACGAAACAAACAAGTATGCCCGGAGCTGGAAGAATTACCAAGATCCTATTGCTTTGATCAATTGGACTCTACTCTTTATCTGAACCTCGAGTACCAAGCTTCAGGGACCTGGTGCATCCATAGGTAGTAGAGATACCTACTACTAATCTACCTTATCTACCATCGCGGGAGGGGGGCGTTTTTGGACATCTGTCAGAGGGAGGAAAGAGTGTCTAAGTTATTTTATCACCCTCAACACTCTGCTGGATAAGGCTGACATGATATTATCAGCCGAAAATAACCGGGACAGCTTTTTCTGTCCACTAACCGATGTCCAAAAACACCCCTCTCCCGCGATGGTAGTAAGTACTAACCTAGTACCACCTACCTTGTAGGTAGTACCTACCTCTAGTACCTAAATAGGTGAGGCCCAATGTAGCTTGTCCTAGCTCCTAACTACCCCACCCACTCGGCCTTGAATAACACATAATAGCTTCCAATCCGTAACTCAGCTGCTCCAGCTCTTGATTCCGACATCTTCACTTTCGTCTTCTCCATATTGAAAACATCAAGACTCACACCCAAAAGAAAATGCAGCGTAACCATATCTCAGATCCGAATGAACCGTTCCCTAAGCCACAGGCTCTCGCCTCCGCCACAACGACACACTCGCAAAGCAGATTCCGCATCTCGACCCGCAAGCTACCCATCTCCAAAGCCGGTACCATCGATGCACTCACCGAAAAGATTGGCATTCCGATGCCGGAGATGATTTTTGGTGAAAATGTCGTCGGGATTGAACATGTGCCTTCAGGCTGGTCCCTGTATTTCAACGCTCCAGATGCGCTTGACGCCGTGGACAAGACAGATCGCCATATGCTCAAGGTTGCATATGCCCGAGACTGGGAGAGCACCCGAGAAGGCACCACACAGGGTATAAAGGAGGTTGTGAAGCCCTATGACTGGAGCTACTCGACGACATATACTGGTAGCATCGAAGCCTCGGCTTTGCAGTTTGCGCCTACCGACAAGGTGATACCCATTGAGCTCCTGAAGCGTCGAGACCCCATCCTGTTCTTTGACGAAGTTATGCTCTACGAGAGTGAGCTGGACGACAACGGCATATCCATCTTTAGCGTCAAAGTCCGTGTGCACGAGAAGCGCATGCTTTTGCTGTGTCGGTTGTTTATGCGCCTGGATAATGTTGTCCTGCGGATACGTGACACCAGGGTCTATGTCGATTTTGAGACTGATAAGGTTATTCGCGAATACTCGGCGCAAGAAGAGACCTACGAGAACGTCAAGAGGGTGAGTGTGGATTTGTGAAAATGTTTTTGACCCAGTCTTCCATGATGCAATGCTGACTTTGGCGCTGCAGAAACTTCTCATGTCTGGGAGACTGCCAGACGACATTACAATCGCACTGAGAGATCCCAACGTCCTAGCTCCACTACTGCCGCTTGTAGAGCATCGGGCAGAAGCTCTCAACCCAAGTGCATGAGAAGAAATCAGGACAGGAAAAGATGAACACCAAGTAACGGCGTTTCTGGAGTTGAGGCATATCACACATTGCTCAATGTGTAAGGCGGGATGAAACTCGCAAATCAATGATTTAGTTGTCTGATTACAATAAGCCATCAGAGTCCTCTTTGGACACGCGCCGTAGACTTCACGTTTTGACCCAACTATAAGACGGGATCCATTCTTGCCCTCCCCAATGTTCAATGCAAGTATGAGCCCGAAACAGACATCATTCAGAAACCTTCATAAAATACCCTGGCCTGGCATACTCCCTTCATGTAACTCCCGAGGTTTTTCTCGAAAACAGTTGCTCCAACCCGCTAAACGCCCTGGCCCTTTTCCTTGCATATTACTTAGCGCTCTCATCTCATTCTTTGTGCTTTGCTTTGCTCCGTTTGTGCTTCATCGTGCAAGTGGAGACGAACTCTGCGTAACCTCCTCAAAGTCAAGTTCCCACCGGTCAACCTCTTTGAACTTTCTTGCTGCTTGCTTAAGCTCATCAGCTGATGGAGTGCTTGCATTCTCACCACTTCCGTTCTCAAAAGTATCGTCTGGGAGTGGCTGGAAACGGCTGGCTTCGTGCTCATCCTCGTCTTCATCGCTGCCAGCATCATTTTCATTCTCCTTGTCCGATGACCGACGCGAGTAAGTCTGTGCATTGCGACCCGTTTGCCTGTCAGAGGTTGGCTGTCTGGGCCTAAGAGCCTGCGTTGGGCGCCCGCCTCGTGATCCTGGTCGCCTTGCGCCTCCGCGGCTGGTCGATCGTCCGCCTCGTCTTCGGCGCGCAGCCCGACCGTCAAGATACGATAGCTCATCCTCGTCCTCCCCGATACCGGATGTGTCATGCTCCTCGTCGCTTTCCAGTCCTAGTGGATCCCGCTGCTTCTTGTAATGGCGCTTCGGAAGTAGACTCGTCAAGTCGGCAGTTGTTATCTTTGGCGATGGTTGCTGACGTCGAGTTGTAGCCCGACCCCGACCCCGAGACTTCGATGCCTCTGCATAATTGGGAGAGTGTGTCAGAGAAGGAGGTGAAGAGACATCTGAAAAGTTATCGGCGCCAATAGGTGTTGTGGCAGAAGGCCTTCGGCGCCGCTTAGCCAAGGTATGAATATCAGGCCAGTTCACGTCCTCTGAATCACTACTTGCAGGTAGGGCCATGAGCTCCTCGTTATTGATGGGAGTAACAGGCCTGTCCAGAAGTACCGGAGATGGTCCTAGGGGAGAATCGAGATCTGACAGTGAAGAATCGCTTGCATCATCAGAAATTACCTGGGGTGTAGGTCCAGCTTCTTCCTCTGATTCCTCACCCGCGTCCCTCTCAATTCGCGATATCTTATCAGGCCTACCACTACTTGGTAAAGCATCTTCACTCTTTCTTTTCCTGTGCTGTGGTCCTGCAGAGACTTCCGGGGAGGCAGGCACCTCGATCTCCAGCTCGGTCTCGGGCTTTGTCCGCCGTCGGTTGTTGAGAGGTGTCGACTCAGCTTCAGGCACAAAATCGTCCTCGTCCTCGCTCGCTGAATCCGGTTCCTGCCCTGCGGCATTTTCTTCCGGTCGAGGCTTTCGCGCAGTTCCCAAAATGCTCGGCTCTCGGGCGCGCCGCTTGAAGGCACCAAAGTGAAGTGTCGAGCTGATACTGGGTGTATTGCCGCCGCGGCTACTGGGCCTAATGGGAGGGTCGTTGCGTCCAATAATGCTGGATTGGCGTGGCCTGCGCCTGAAGTTGCTCAAGTTGAGAGAGGATGCATCAGCTGAGCGCAATCCTGGTCGGGTATCGTCGTCCTCGAGCCCAAAACTATCGTCGAGATCGCCAAACACGCTATCCGCTAAATCTAGTCCAGTCGTGTCCCTTCTTCGGGTCGGTGTAGCTGTCGCTCGTCGTCCACCTTCAATTGAGCTTCCAGAATCTCCATCCTCAACATTCTTACTGGCTGTGGAAGTAGGATCCTCGTTGGCTAGTTTGTCTAGCGCTGCGTCGCGACGCCGATTCGCCGCGAGAACATCTTGCTCGTTGACGGCACTTGAATAAGCACCTGAAGATCGTGTCGTCCGCCTACGGCCTCTCTCGGGAGACTGAGTCGGTCGGGGAACTTGGTTGTCACTTGCATCGGGCGAAGGTGATCG